CTACAAAGATATACAGTATCAAGAACTGGTATTTCATAGGCTTGTTAAACAATAACAAAATCCTGTAATTATTAGTCTAGAAGTTTGAGGTATTACAGTTTATGCAAATTATCACTTTCTAGATCACTCAAAGGAGGGGAAGGCTGTAAAAGGTATGATAAAGTTATATAAGTATAAAAGAAAGTAATAAACCCATGACATGTATTCTCATAGAAAGAGCGTTAAGGATATGCAAGGAGAAGAAATAAAAGCAACAAACTGGGTGCAAAAGGTGAAGATTTCAAAAAGCCCATTCATGAACCACCTTTTCATCGAATTGATACACAAACATTGGTATGGGGGAGCCAACCTTCCCATGTGGCATGAAACATATTAGATTTATTTTATCTACAAGTGATCAATCTCGAGTACATGCATTGTAAGTTGACCCTATGGACAATGTCAGGTGTCAGGTGACCTTCGTTGATAAGATATTGATGGCCTAGAGGCATTGTGTCACCATAGTCCGGTAGGTATGGAGGTGCAGCTTGATTCCCATATTCAATAGTGTTAATTGGGGAGTAGGGGGATTTAGAATATCTCTAATTTCAGGGTAAATACGACATTCTAAATGCTCTTACTGCTTCTACAGGCTCTTAATACATGGAGAATAGGACCCGTTCGGTCACAATTTTCCAACATTGTAAGGAATGCAACAAGAAAAACAACGCTTGTATGGATTACCAAAGGTGAGGTCTCGGTGCACAAGCTATGAGTGTCTTCCATATACCCAAACTGTATAAATATCATAACTAGGCATCCGGCACCTCGAGGCATCCACATCCGGAAATTCTTTTCTTTGCTACAGGGTGATTGCAAAGGGAAAATCTTGTGCATTTTGACCCAAAGCCTTAGGCCCCATACACACAATGAGAATATCGCACGAACGATCGGCCGCCGTTTTTTTTTTTTCGCCTGCTAGTCTCACATTGAAAGTGAAAAGGTTACTAAAGATACGAAAAATTCTGTGAAAAAAAAGAAATTCGAAAGTGATGTCATGTATTTGTATTGTATTTTCAGATGACTACTGTACTGATTAAATGAAAATCGTACGATCTGGTATCATACGAGAAACATTTTTGCGCTTGTCCCTTCAGATATTGTCGTCTGAATTTTCGTGATCGGCTCTCAAAAGCTGTGTACTAACGATCCGATTATCGGACGATCGGTCCTCGTACGAAAATTTTCATATGATTTTCTTATAGTGTGTACGGGACATTAGTCATAGCCAATGACTACGACTGGGGCTTAGCGCTGAAATGTGTAATCTTTTCTCTTTGTAATCACCCTGTAGCAAATAAAATAATTTTCGCATATTGATGCCTTGAGTTGCCTACTTTTTTTTTTCTTCTCAAAGAAGTTTTATTGAGAAAAACATAAGAAGAACATTTACAGGTTCCAGAGTAAAAACATTATTGAATATACAGAGATAAACTCCATCAAACACCAAATCCATAACACTGTATGTAAGTCCAGTAGCATTGTCTTTCAATGGTAGCCGAGGACAAAATACAATCAACTACACATACATACCAGAGATACAGCAATTTAAATATTTCACAATAGTCTGTCTAAAATTAGATCTGTTGGGGGCAACCCAGGTGTGTCCAACCCCGGGGACTATATATTGTTACATTTACTAGGACACCCTCTATGTTGGTAGATATATTTTTCAAGACGCAGCGTGTCGCCTACTTGAGTAACCCACTTTTTCAGAGTGGGTGTGTCTGCTGACTTCCAGTGTCTAAGAATTCGTTTCCGGGATTGAAAGAGAGCCCTAGCAATCATCTGTTTAGATAGGTTGAGTTGCCTACTTTGGCTATTGTGAGGAAAGGTCTGAGGAAAATTTGGAGAAACTGTAAGGGTCAGATACCTTCTCCATAGAATTTTCTTTCAGACCTCCCAGTGGTCTATGTATCCAGACAAGGATAAGTTCACCTTAATGGCTGTCTCTCCATAAAATTCGATTTTAATTCCTCCTCCCATATACACATTGAGGGCAAATTGATTTGTCTTTAAAATTGTAGTTTACACATTGCAGTGCTGGCCGGCCTGATTATATAGGGAGGTGGAGTGCAGCACGGAAGTTTTATTTTGCAATTCATTGAATGAAAAAAAAACCCCCATAATGCAAGTAAGAGAATCTCAACCTTTCGGGACACAGTGGATGAGAGGTAAATCCTTTTGACCTATGTCTAGCAGAATGCTCCCTCTGAACAGGGTCTGTATCTAATACACCGGCTCTCATATGACTTGATTCTTTGTACACTAACAAAGGCACTTCAAAGGATGTGTTATCTACCAAGCACCCCAACACCAGCATCACATGGACCTCTCATTCTAATGCCTTGGAGCTTGACTCAGGAGGTAAGAGACCTCAGACCATCCACACAGGTTGACACATGCAACTTGACACATGGTTAGCATCCTACAGTACGGTGAGCGTTGTCACACCAGGTCAGGAATTGTGTTACTGGCTGGATCATCAGGTGAAAATAAGACTCGAAAAAAGTAGCACCCACCACATTCTAAAGCTGGCCATACATTATACAATTTTCTTATTCAATTTCCTTTAGATTTACCTTCAACTATGTAGTGCAATGACCTGCCTGACTGCATACAAATTGAAAGTGACTTCATATTATATGGTTTTGGTAAATCTAGAGGAAATTTGTACAAGAAAACTATACACTCACTGGCCACTTTATTAGGTATACCTTGCTAGTCCTGGGTTGGACCTCCTTTTGCCTTCAGAACTGCCTTAACCATTTCCATACCGGGCAATTTTACCCCTTCCTGCCCAGGCCAGTTTTCACGTTTCAGCGCTCTCACACTTTGAATGACAATTGCGCGGTCATACAACATTGTACCCAAACTAAAATTTTATCATTTTCTTCACACAACTAGAGCTTTCTTTTGGTGGTATTTAATCACCACTGGGGTTTTTATTTTTTGCTAAATTAACAAAAAAAGACCGAAAATTTTGAAAAAAAAAACACGTTTTTCTTTGTTTCTGTTATAAAAGTTTGTAAATAAATAAGTGTTCTTTATAAATTTAGGCCAAGATGTATTCTGGTACATGTCTTTGGTGAAAATAACCCAAATAAGGATGTATTTTTTAGTTTGTAGGAAAGTTATAGAGTTCACAAACTATGGGATAGATCTGAAAATTGATCAATCCTGAAGTACTGACAGCCAATCTAAATTCTTGAGGTCCAAGAATGTCAGAATAGTACAGATATCCCCCAAATGACCCCTTTTTGCAGAGTAGACAGTCCGACGTACTTCATAAGTTTTTTGAAGTTGTATTTTTTTTGTCATAATTTTTCGGAAAATTAAAAAATTAAAAAATTATTTTCACTATTTTTTTTTACATACTGTCACCAGTGCAGTATAGCGTCATCATATAACTGGCATGGCGGTAATCAGGGACACTGACTGGTGACAGTATGAAAAAAAAAATATATATATTTTTTTATTTTTTTATTATTTTTAATTTTTTATTACATTTTTTTTTTATTTTTTTTTAAGATTTTTTTTTTTATATTTTACTATGACCAAAGTAGTACAATGTTACCATAGTAACTTTGTACTACTTTGGGGAAGTGATCAGTATTTTTTTTTTTTTTTTTACACAATTTGCTTATAGCAAAGAATTACTTTGCTATAAGCAAGCATTTACCTGAATGAAATCGATTCATTCTGGGTTTTCTTTTTTTGTGCTTAGCTTTGATTTGGCCACAGCTAATCACATGACATGTGCATGTGACCTGCTGTGACCATTCACAGCTAGGCACTAGTATACAATGGATGGCATGAATGAATCCATCCATTGTATACAACTGTCATGTGACCTGCTGTGATTGGTCACAGCAGGTCACATGGCACAGGTAACGGGGGCCGGTACTCAGATCTGTCATCGGCCGTGTCCGAGGTACACGGCCGGTGACAGATCGCGCCGCTGCGCGGCTCTGCAACCGCGCGAACTGCGCATGTGCGGGAGCAAGCCACATGGCGTGCACCCGGAATGGTGAAGCATTTTTGCCGCCGCCAAACGGCTATAGGCCGGGCAGCTAATGGTTAACTCTTCGTGGCATAGATTCAACAAGGTATTGGAAACATTCCTCAGAGATATTAATCTATATTGACATGAGTTACTGTTGCCTTTCTATCATCTCAAACCAGTCTGCCCATTCTCCTCTGACCTCTAACATCAACAAGGCATTTTCATCCAAACAACTGTCGCTCACGGGATATTTTCTATTTTTTTAACCATTCTCTGTAAACCCTAGAGATGGTTGTACATGAAAATTCCAGTAGATCAGCATTTTTTTAAATACTCAGACCAGCCCATCTGGCACCATGCCACATTCAAAGTCACTTAAATCTCCTTTCTTCCCCATTCTGATGCTCAGTTTGAACTTCAACAAATCATCTTCACCACGTCTAGATGCCTAAATGCATTGAGTTGCTGCCATGTGATTGGCTGATTAGCAATTTGTGTTACCAAGCAATTGAACAGGTGTACCTAATAAAGTGGCCAGTGAGTATATAATGTATAGGTAGCCTAGAGACTCAATGTTTGTTCTTGGGTTTAGACATGAGTATATAATGTATAGGTAGCCATAGATTCAATGTTTGTTCTTGGGTTTAGACATCTAAAGTACAAATGTTCCTTTTGTGCTGTATATCCTGGTCCAATTCTATCCGCCAACCTTTGGGAACACATTGTTAAATTTAGAGGTAAGCTAAATAAATTGAGTATTGGGCAAATCTCATCATTTCGGCTGAAAATGTTTGATTCTGAATATGTGCGTTCTGATATCTGATCTGCAGAGAATTGTGAAAGTCATGAACCCCCTGGCAATTACATTTCTTTAACTCAATCACCATTGCAGTTTAAATAGGAAAATTGGAAGCTCACAACACACCTATGCCATTCTTCAAATTTAAGGACTTACCTTTGAATGCAATGCCGGCATTATTGATCAGCACATCCAGCCCCCCGTACTTATCCTTTAGAAAGTCCCGCAGAGCCCGGATGCTGTTCAGGTCATTGATGTCCAGCTGGTGGAATAACGGGGACAATCCTTCCTTCTCCTTCAGCTCCTGCACAGCTTTTGCTCCCAGCTGAGTGTTCCTGGCTGTCAGATAGACATCCCCCTGGAACTGCTTACACAGAGCTCTGACTATGGCCAGGCCTATCCCTTTATTGCCTCCTGTGACCACTGCCACCCGCACTCCAGACATATTGGCAGTCACTGTGAAGGACAAAGCAAACTAATAGCACAGTGTCAACTGCATGTGATATTTAAGATGAAGGCTCCACCCCAGGCATGTAAGATAGGAAGATCAGATTCTGTTACTGTAACCAAGCACTACATAGACACTTCATGCAGCTTTATGGTAACACACTTGTACTGCCATCTAGTGCTGAAATAGTAAACTGTTGGAAATTACAGTAATGTTTTTCTCTTGATTATAAAATAATTTTTTGAACATGTTCTGATATAAATGTTCGAAAAAACATTATTTGTCCTTCTAAAGGGCCAGACTAACTATGGTTGGCAACATTCCTACTTCATTGCAAGAGACATGTTTGGAAGTTTAGTGATTATCAGTAGGGCTGAGGTTCAGGTTCGATGATACCATGAGTAAAGGCAAATCCTGCATGTTTACGATTTCCATTTCTGGCAAATTAAAGTGATTCTAAAGGCTTTTTAAAAAAAAAAAACAAAAAAAAAACATGTCTATACTTACCCGCTGTGTGCAGTGGTTTTGCAAAGAGCAGCCTACATTGTAAGCTCTAAGGAGCGGGGCCCTCTGTTTCCTCTTGTACCAAATTGTATTGTAACTGTTATGTATATTTTAATTAATGTGATTCTTGTGAGCTACTATGGTGTTGTCAGGGATGCGGGTGTGACCAGAAGTGTGTGGACTGACACAGGGAAACGCAAGCTTCAGATACGATAAATAATATAATTTATTAAGGCTAACAATACAAACATAAACGCAGTGCACCAAACCCCAAGCTAACACAAATACATACAACAAGGTGAAACAAACCCAAACCTAAACTGATACAGATACACAGGTACATACACATATAGAGCACAACGTAGTCAGGCAGGCCGGGTCGATAACTATCGGGCAGGTAGGTACAGGAGGAGCAGGCAGAGAGTAGTCGGGTCACGAGCCGGGTACAGCAACTAACGGACAGGTAGGTACAGGGGGTCAGGCAGAAAATGGTCAGTTTCACAAGCCAGGGATCAAACAGAAGTCAGCAGAGGTCAGGATCAGGCAGGGTCGGCAACAAGTCAGGCAGAAACAGGAACAGAAATGCAGGTTACAAGATACAGGGGCCCATGGAAAAACACACCACCAAGGCACAGACTGCAGGTCTGGCCATCCCTTAAATATACCACCTGCAATCAGCCCCAGGTGATGGCTAATTGCCAAAGTGAACCTCTGGTTGTTGAGAGCACCCACTGGCCAGCCCTGGTACTGCAGCCCACAAGGCAGGTGAGTCCCACCACTATTGGCAAGTCCATTCCTGACAGGTGTATTTAAATAGAAGTGCAGCGCTAGATATAGTTAATAGATAAAATCATGAAATAATGTCCCATATATGTTAAAACATGTATAATATAATAAAACAGTTCATAAATAAATAATCCACTAGATGTAGCCGTATGCCAGGAGAAGCTTTGTCAGGAACATGTGATAAAAGTGCGCACTCACCGGATGCGCTATAATCAAGCGCGTGTAATCAATATCCACTCGGATCCTTAGAAAGGTGGAGAAGGTGAGCATCCATCTGGAGGTAAGTGATCCTCGTATTCTGTCTCAGTGGTATACGGTGAAGGCTTCTAGATCCAGAGATCCCCTTCAGGTTGAATGGGTGCATGTACTGGATACAGAGCTCCCTCACTCTGGTGGTGGTTAGTGGTGAGATGTCCTGGAATTCAATTAGGTCCAATGGGAGCCAAAAACGGTGCTCATAGAGTAGTAAGGTTAAAGACTTTATTCCAAAAAGGTACAGTATAAAACAGGGTAGTAAACACTCCCAATGTATAAATATAGATGCAGAGTAGTACTGACCCTAAATAAAAATGGCCGCCGGGCCTCCTCGTGGCTTCGGGGTGGCTGTGACATCACACTCTTTTGGCTCCTCCTAAGGCCTTTTGTGCAATGCACATCATCAGAGGGGAGGTCAACATTATTTCATGATTTTATCTATTAACTATATCTAGCGCTGCACTTCTATTTAAGTTTCTATGTTGAAGGTTTGCTGAGATTACCTTGAGTGCACTAGCTGCAGGTTTTGGAGCGCTCACTTTCTATTGATTTATCTACTATGGTGTATTACTTTAGGTGAAATGTATTAGGACTCAGTCACTTGATATATTTTATTTAATTAATTCATTTAATATATGTATATTATTATTATACAGTATTTATAAAGCGCCGATATTTCGCTCAGTGCTGTACATTACAAAGGGGGACAGAACATGTGACAGAACAATAACAATACAATGCAAAACATGAGGGGATTGAGGGCCCTGCTCTTTGGAGCTTACAATCTAGGAATTCAATATACTGACACCACGGGTTTTTGTAAATGTTATTTATACCTTCATTTTGTAAAGCGCTGTGCAAACTGTTGGCGCTGTATAAATCCTGTATAATAATATAATAATAATAATAATCCACCTCTTCTTGGGTCCCACGCCAGCGCTCCTGGCCCCTTCCTCCTGTCAGGAGCCCCCCACAGCAAGCAGCTTTTTATGGGGGCACCCGCTGCTCCATTTATCCATTTACACAAGGAACCGTGGCTTGGCTTTGCCCCCCTCTCTCTTCTCATTGGCTCACTGGTTATGACTGACAGCAGTGGGAGCCAATGGCTTCTGGTTCTGTCTCAGCCAATGAGGAAAGGGAGTCCCGGGATAGCCGAGACTTCAGTGCACATCGCTGGATCGAGGTGGCTTAGGTGAGTATCAGGGGGGCTGCTGCACAGAGAAAGTTTTTTACATAGAATGCATGAAGGTAAAAAAACTTGAGCCTTTTGAACCACTTTAAAGAGTATGTTACCCCAACATTTCATATTCCTTATATGTGCCTGTTGTTCCATGTACTTGTATGCAAAAGTTTTCTGTTCTCTTTGTATTGCTTTCTCTGTGTGAAATCCCTGGTGTTCCTGCCAGTCCCTCTGCTTTCCCAATAAAAACTGACCACACTAGGCGGGAGAGCACAGTCTGGTCAGTTCTATAGCTTTGCTGGGAACTCAGCCTGTTGCCCTCCAGTGATCAAACGTCTGCTGACACCCCCCTCCTCCTGCACAGCCATTAACTGGGAAGATCAGTGCGCTGCTGTTTCTCCTCCACCACGCAGCCCAGAACTGAGGGTATGTGATCATTTATACTAAATTGTAAAAGGTATTTATATTGTTTTTTTTATACCTATACACACATTTTTTGCCTTTGTGTACAAGGTGAGGGATGACAATCACTTTAACGGTGAATTTTACCCAGCCAAATTCTTTGTATCCATAATGCATTCTAAGGGTCCTTGAACTTAAGTCACCTGGCCTAGAAAGGGAGTTAGAGGTTTCTACTGGTTAAAGTGTTACTACACCTACAACAGTAGAATCAGTCTGTATTTGCTGTAAAGCATGCTTGTTATACTCACTCAGGGAACCTTATGGGTTAATCCTCCACATTGTGTGTTTCATCCTGTCTTCTCTGATCCTCCCCTTCTAAACCTGTCCCCAATACATCTTCTGATAGAACAGAGCCTTGTGGCAAATTACACATGCTCAGTTTGGTGTTTATTGCTACAGAGTTTTTTTTTTCTTGGACTAGTGCACGTGATGAGCACTGTCCAGGGGTCCTGCAGCCTCATAAAGGAGAATGAAGACTCCTCCTACAGACTTTAACCAGTACTTGGCTGGACACTGATAGAAGTCATAATATTGCTTTAACTGATGATGAGAAAAGGTATTTAGCAGTTTATATTTACTAAAATAATTGCATTCCCATGTTCTGTGTGCTGTGGGAGACTAGATATAGTGGATGCAGGGTCCGGGGAGACCAGATATAGTGAATGCAGGGTCCGGGGAGAGTGGATATAGTGAATGCAGGGTTCGGGGAGACCAGATATAGTGGATGCAGGGTCCGGGGAGACCAGATATAGTGAATTCAGGGTCCTGGGAGACCAGATATAGTGAATTCAGGGTCCTGGGAGATCAGATATAGTGAATGCAGGGTCTGGGGAGACCAGATATAGTGAATGCAGGGTCCGGGGAGACCAGATATAGTGAATGCAGGGTTCGGGGGAGACCAGATATAGTGGATGCAGGGTCCGGGGAGACCACATATAGTGAATGCAGGGTCCTGGGAGACCAGATGTAGTGAATGCAGGGTCCTGGGAGACCAGATGTAGTGAATGCAGGGTCCGAGAAGACCAGATGTAGTGAATGCAGGGTCCGGGGAGACCAGATATAGTGGATGCAGAGTGCAGGGAGACCAGATATAGTGAATGCAGGGTCTGGGGAGACCGGATATAGTGAATGCAGGGTCTGGGGAGACCAGATATAGTGGATGCAGGGTCCGGGGAGACCAGATATAGTGGATGCAGGGTCCGGGGAGACCGGATATAGTGAATGCAGGGTCCGGGGAGACCAGATATAGTGGATGCAGGGTCCGGGGAGACCAGATATAGTGGATGCAGGGTCCGGGGAGACCAGATATAGTGGATGCAGGGTCCGGGGAGACCAGACATAGTGGATGCAGGGTCCGGGGTTTAGTAACACTTTAAGTGTATCCTAGAGGTAGCATACAACACAAGAGACTATAAACACAGCACATTAAAAAAAAAAAAAAAAAAAAAAATTCTGGAGTTCTTTTTTAAAATTTAATTTGTATCTCCTGCAGATTTCTCAGAAAATCAGTGAGCCAATCACAGAACTGACATTTCTGGTGGCTTTCTGTACACCAACAAAGTATGGAATGCCTCCAGTTTGACATATTGGAAGGAAGCTGCATTAAACAGTTTCAGAAAATTACAGAAGTTGTAGATTGAAATTGAGTTTATAACCCAAAAGCACAAATGTATTACATTACAATTTACCAATTCTTACATGTGATCGATTACTTTTCTTATTTTGATTTTTTTCTTCTATTTTCATCTGGTGATCCTCCCAGAAAATCTGTTGTTTTTCAAAAGGACCAGCTGTTCTGCAGATCAGTTACAGAAATGAGACAAAGCATTTAACACTAGCAGGGGTGCTTACAATGATCAGTTTTTATTTATTTATGTAAAACCTTTATCCCAAAAGAAAAAACTGTTTGCTGTAATTGCTTATAAAGTGTGAGCTGGAGTTTGGCTTCATTTTGTTAATGTATATAAATCTGCTAGTACATCTAACATTCTCCTCCCACCAGACTGACCAGGCTGCTGTTCAAATGTGCCCAGTGTGCTCCTTCATCCAGAGAGGGTCACTCTAAGTGTTATCCTATGTGTCCATGCACACTATTTTAGGCTAGTAGCGTTTTTCAAGCTTCAGCATTTAGGAGCAGAAAAAAAAAATTGTTTTTGTAGAGTTTTTTGGAGCGTTTTTCCAGCAGAAAAAAAAAAACACAGACCGCTCCTAAATGCTCTTAAACGTTACTAAACGCTACTAAAATTCTCCTAACAGCTTTTTTTTTCCTATATGTATTGTGAAAAATGCTAATAAAATGCAAACGCTCCTAAACGCTTCTACGCTCTAGCTTAAAAAAAATACTGGTGTGCAATGGAGCCTAATACAGGAGGAGTGTTACTGGCCAAATCACCAGAAGGAAAGAGAGAGGAAACAGAGAGGAAAACGTCTAATGAAAGAAAACTCATGCAGCCCCCACATCTAAGGATTGGTAAGCTGAAATATATTACATTCTTGGTTTTGGCTTTAATGCTGCTTTAACCACTTTATAGCCGATAGCCGAATGATAGAGGTCATATGACGTCCTCCCAGAACGCACCCCGCAGCCGCCCCCAGCGGCACTTACTCAAATCTATCTGTGATCGCTGTGCCCTTTAGACACAGCTGATCACATGACATGATAAAAGGCCAATCACAGCAGCCTTTTACCACCTGATCAGTTGTGTCCAATGACAGCTGACCACTATGTAAATACACTACCAGTTATCGGCAGTACTTTCCTCATGCTGTCACAGTGTAACCATCAACTGTCAAAGCAGACATCTGCACTGATAATCAGGGCACTGCCCATCAGTGCTGCCCAGCAGTTTCCAACAATGCTGCCCAGCATTGCCACGTCAGTGCCCCCAGTCCGTGCCCTTCAGTGCTACCTATTAGTGCCCATCAGTGCTGCCTATCAGTGCCCATCAGTGTGCCCATCAGTGCCACATATCAGTTCAGCATCATCAGTGCCTCCTCATCAATGGACACCAGTGCTGCCTCATCAGTGCTGCTTCATCAGTGCAGCCCATCAGTGCTACCTATTAGTGCCCATCAGCGCTGCCTATCAGTGCCACATATCAGTTCAGCATCATCAGTGCCTCCTCATCAATGGACACCAGTGCTGCCTCATCAGTGCTGCTTCATCAGTGCAGCCCATCAGTGCTGCCCATCAGTGCCACATATCAGTTCAGCATCATCAGTGCCTCCTCATCAGTGGACACCAGTGCTGCCTCATCAGTGCTACCTATTAGTGCCCATCAGCACTGCCTATCAGTGCCACATATCAGTTCAGCATCATCAGTGCCTCCTCATCAATGGACACCAGTGCTGCCTCATCAGTGCAGCCCATCAGTGCTACCTATTAGTGCCTATCAGTGCCACATATCAGTTCAGCATCATCAGTGCCTCCTCATCAATGGACACCAGTGCTGCCTCATCAGTGCAGCCTATCAGTGCCCATCAGTGCTGCCTATCATTGCAGCCTCATCAATGCACATCAGTGAAGGAGAAAAATTACCTGTTTGCAAAATTTTGTAATAGAAACAAAGAAAACTTTTTTAAATTATAGTACAAAAAATAAAAAAACCCAGTGGTGATTAACCACTTCAAGTCCGGACACTTTCACCCCCTTCTTGTCCAGACCAATTTTCAGCTTTCAGTGCTGTCACACTTTGAATGACAATTGTGCGGTCATGCAACACTGTACCCATATGAATTTTTTAGCATTTTTTATTTAAACTTTAATTTTGGTGGTATTTATTCACCACTGGGATATTTTTATTTTTTTGCTATATAAATGAAAAAGTTCAAACATTTTGAAAACAAAAAGTGTATTTCTTATAAAATTTTGCAAATAAATAATCTCTCTTCATAAAGTTTGGCCAAAATGTATTCAGCTATCTTTTTAGTAACAAAAAAAATAACCCAAATTAGTTTAGTTTATAACCAAAAATTATAATTTTTCAAACTTTTTTTTACATTTTTATTTTTTTTTATATTTTGTTTTTTTTTTAATCATACTGTCACCCTAGCAGTACAGTGTCACCATAGTGACACTGTACTACTTGTGGGGGGTGATTAAGTTTTTTTTTTTTTTTTTTGTTTTTACACTGATTGGTTTTACACATAAAGGCTGTAAAAGCAATACTTTCTCCTTTTCTCTAGCTGCATTCTTGCAGCCATTGAGAAACACTGTGAGAGCTGTGATTGGTTACAGCTTGTCACATGGTACAAGGCTGTTGTGAATAGTGACACAACATGTGACCTCTGTGATCATTCACAGATTTCACTAGTAGAAAGTAATGATGTAAGGAAGTGACATCTTGCTTACTACTATTCATGTGATCACTGATTGGCCAATCAGTGATCACATGGTCGGGACCTCACACAGAGGTCCTGTACAGCGATCGGTGCTCCCAGGGAGCACGCATAGACAGAGAATGCAGGAGGACGTTTATAAATGGCCACCCGCTCCTGCACTGCGACCATCCGTCCGTTTATGTACATGGGCTGGATGGGAAGTGGTTAAATACCACCAAAAGAAAGCTCTATTTTGTGTGAAAAAAAAGATAAACATTTCATATGGGTACAGTGCAGGGGCAGACTAACCATTTGGAAACTCGGGGACTGCCCGAGGGCCTGGGGTCAGTAGGGGGCCCCATGAGATGCCCCTGGTACCTTTTTCATAGGCTTTTTTTGAGTTTGGGCAAGGACACAGGGGCCCCATGAGCTGTCAGTCCGCCCCCAGTACAGTGTTGCATGACCGCACAATTGTCATTCAAAGTGTGACAGCGCTGAAAGCTGAAACTTGTCCTGGGCAGGAAGGGGGTAAAAGTGCCCGGTAGGCAAGTGGTTTTAAATTCCAATCTGTAGACATAATACAGGTATATGTTGTATTTTTTAATGAAAGTGGAGTCTTTCTTTAAGTACAATAGTTTCTTTGAGGACAGAAAATGACATATTTGGGTGGATTTTCTGTTTATATACTGAACACCAATACACTTATTGTTCTTTTGTTCGTATTGAGTGAAGTAAAACCTCCACATCATCTTGCTCCTAAAGTGTATTTACAATATTGATGGAGTATCAGATATCATCTCAGTTCTGGACTGTGAGTACCCTAATTGAAAGATCATCACATGTGTTGGGTGCTATCAATTTAATAACATTAGATAACATGTGAATTGAGTTTTTTTTTGCAGCATTGTGAACACAGGAGGTCAGCTGCTCAGCACACGCACCCCTCAGAGAAAGCTTTACATTTTCTCAATGAATGCAAAGTGATCAGTGATTGGATGAGGTGGAGAGGAAGGGGGTTACGTCACTGCAATAAAAACTTGACAAGGAGTCTAAACCTTCCCTACTTTAACCAAAGTGAAAAAAAAAAAGGTTCTGCCTAGAGATACCTATTAAACAGCACTGGATAGCATATATTTTAAGTTTCCTGGTTGGTTAGGTACTGCCTCTGGGAGTCATGCTGCCCTAGGCTGTGGCCTAGTGAGGAATCCAGCCCTGGATGTCACTTTTTATACCAGGAATTGTGTTATTTGCAGGATTACCAGGTAAAGGAAAACCAAGCTGACAGATGAAAACTAATGCAACCACCACATCTAAGGACTGGTAAGCTGTAATAGATTACATTTTTGTTTGTTGGGTTACATAATTAAGTTCATAACAGATTTTTACATGTGCTTTAAGGCAGAATGGGCCCTAGACAAGGAGGCCGCCTTGGCCCTCCACCAGCTCTTTTATTGGCATTGATAAAGATTGCAAGAAACACCATCGCATCTGTCTGTAGCGGCATGTAGGTCCCATGTGAAATGACAAGCAGGTGCACAGGTTTGGCCAGTTGCCAATTCCTCCACCACCACCCCACCATCATTTACTGCTGGAACATGAAGGATGTAGCAAGTCCCCCCATAGACGTTCATCAGGCTCTAGGCTCCCAAGGTTGCCCCGTAGCTCTGGGTCCTGGTACCAGGCAGGAATGACAGGGGCCTAGAGAAATAGACCTCATCAGAAAATCTGGTGCCCCTGGATTTTGAAAGGAGTCGGATACAACCTTGAGCTGCAGATTGTATGTGAACTTGTCTTGCTGGTTTTTAGCAGACAGATTTTTTTGTCCTTGAATAATGATGCAGCAGATTTTACAACAAAGCTTGAGGATAAGAAATTGCAGAGTCATGGCCATCCTGCAGAATGCAGAAGTTTGCTTAATTCATTGTTAGTGGCAACATAGTAAATGTTCACCTGGAGCTGTCATTACATACATACATACCCAGTAAAGTTAGTCTGATTAGTTGTCCAGAACCAATCGGGTTTCAGCTTTCAGATTTGTAGAACTGAAAATTCTTTGACTTGCTGCTCTCTGAACTATTTAAAACTGGCTTGAGCGATTAAATTACTGGTGAATGTATCGGGGGCAGACTGACAACTCATGGGCCCCCGGGCAATAAGGGATCATGGGGCCCCTGTGTCCTTGCCCAAACTCAAAAAAGCCTATGAAAAAGGTAACAGGGGCATCTCATGGGGCCCCCAACTGACCCCGGGCCCTCGGGCAGTGCCCGAGTTTCCAAATGGTCAGTCCACCACGGAATGTATTAGTTTAGCTCCACGAAATCTCTGCTGCAAGGAACCCCCATGAGGCCACATGTGCTGAACTGTGCTGCTGCTGCAGTGTGTTGCTTGGTGCCATGCCCACCGGTGTCCAGTGTCTCGATTTTTCTACTTCATAGGGCTGGGACCCAGACTGTCCACCGAAAGCTTTAGGCATAGGCCCAAGGTCTTGTAGGCTACTTTTCACCTGAATTAATTCTACGGCTGTGCCCTATGGAAAAAAAAAAACGATGGGCTATGAATAAGGTTTTTTTTACCGAAACGCGTAAGTGATGTAACTTGCACACTGTACCCTTTATGAATAAAAAACTTTTATCGGGAGAACCAGTTGCCAGCTCTTCACCTTTTACTCTCATTCTGTTTGAAGGGCCAGGAAGACACTGTGAGCTTTGGAGCACCGTTGGTCTACCTCCAGGGGAAATCAACCTAGGCGCACACTTTCAATTGTGAAAAAAAAAAAACCTGTCTTGGCCACTGTTAGGCTTCTTCCAGCAGCTGCCTCTGCAAGTATTTACAAGCCTGCCTCGCCGCTGGCTATCCCAGCTTCAGTCGATCCTGAATACGGCTGCCAGACTCATTCACCTTTCCAACCGCTCCGTCTCCGCCACCCCCCTCTGCCAATCCCTCCACTGCTTCCGATTGCACAACGGATCAAATTCAAAATCCTAACACTGACGTACAAAGCTGTCCACCATACTGCCCCGAAACTACATCACCGACCTAATATCCAAGTACCGCCCAGCACGCACACTCCGCTCCTCACAAGACCTCCTTCTCTCTAGTTCCCTGGTCTCCTCCTCCCATACCCGCCTCCAGGACTTCTCCAGGGTGTCACCTATCCTCTGGAACTCCCTGCCCCAACCCATCAGATTATCACCTACTCTCCTCTCCTTTAGGCGCACCCTGAAAACCCACCTCTTCAGGGAAGCCTACCCCACCCCCCGCTAACTTGCCGACCTCCCCCACTCTTCCTACCACTCCATCCCCCACAGCTATCTCCTCCTGTACCACTATCCCCTCCCTCCTAGATTGTAAGCTCAAAAGAGCAGGGCCCTCGATCCCCTCATGTTTTGCATTGTATTGTATTGTTCTGTCACATGTTCTGTCCCCTTTGTAATGTACAGCGCTGAGCGAACCATTGGCGATTTATAAATACTGTATAATAATAATAATAACAACCTCATACGGAGCAAAGAAAACGGTTTATTTTACAGGAATAAAATAAAAAGAAAAACATAGCTGCAAGTTTTAAGGTAACAATTGTGACCTGGCCTTTTGAATTTGTCCATCTTCTATCAACTTATATTTCTTTGTTGCCTGTGGTCATTTCTTACCTTTACATCAGAGTCCCCCCTTATATAACAGCCCTCCCTGTGGATCAGAACCCTCTACTTCCCCGTAGAGAAGAGATACCCTTTAGATCAGAGTCCCTCTTTAGATCAACCCCCCCTTTAATCAGAATCCCCCCATAGATAACAGCCCCCTCCCCTCCAGATCAGGAGTCTCAGAATTCCCCCTTGCACCTGGAGTCCCCTTTTAGATCATACTCTTCCCTCAAATTAGAGTCTTGCCTTGCAGATCAGAATCTTTCCCTGTATAACAGTTCCACGTTAGATCAGCATCCCCCTTAGATTAGAGTACCTCCAAAGAGCAGAGTCCCTGTTTAGATCAGAATCCCCCCTTAGAGTCGGGGAGAGGGCGCTGGAGTCAGGGTGTGGACCTGTTCTTCACAGAGTAAGTTTCATCTTGGTGTGCATGCATGCCATTAGGTGCTAGGATGCCAGCAGTCCTAGCAACCAATAACAGCAGAGAAAATGGCTGTAGGGAAGAAGTGGAGAGCATTGGCAAAGTACACTACCAGGAATCCTCAATAGGTGCCATGAACACATTGTACCCTTTGAGGCTATGCCACTGTGTTCTCAAGGGAAGCCCCAAGAAGTAGACCGCATGTTCTAAAGTCAAGCAGGCTCAAGAGCATATGTATGTAATACTCATTGGTAAGAAGGTCCTCCAGGGGAGCAGTCCAGCGTGTCCTCCATAAATATTTATTTTTCCTTTATTTCTACCATGTTTACCTATGCCATTGGTGTAAAATACTCTCCCATCCAAAAATTGCTAAAAAAAAAAAAAAAAAAAAAAAAAAATGATCCCCCCGAAACATTATGACCACCCGCTATCATCTGTCTACACATGAACTAGACCTTAGAAGGTATGCTGTGGTATCTAGCACCAAACTGGAAGCAGCAGATCCTTTAAGTCCTGGAAGTTGAGAGGTGGGACCTCCATGGTCTTGATTGATACTCATCATGCTCCAGTTCTCTTTATACACCTTGACTACTGAGTACACACATGGTTCCATATGATTATTTGGTCATGCACACGTATTCTCCATGTTTGTGAAGTCCATTTGGAGCCATGACACTGTGACATAATGATGTATTGTCATTCCTCATGTTTGCCTAGCTTTACTAAAACACTGGGGTTGGTTGATTTACTAAAGGCAAATAGACTGCGCACTTTCCAAATGCAGTTGCACTCATTTTCCCCCCCAGAGCTTAGTGAATGTCGCGAAGCTTCATTTTGTAAAAAAAATACCCAATAAGCTCAAAAAAATAGAAAAAAAAACCCCCAAAAAAACAACAAAATGTTTGCTTGCAAGATTGGATGATGAAAATCAGCAGAGCTTCATCACATTCATTACTCTCTGGGCTAAAATGAGTGCATCTGCAATTGCAAAGTGCACAGTCTATTTGCCTTTAATAAATCAATCCCATAGTGTAAGCATTATTAATGCAATAGCAGAACCAGAGGCGGACTGACCATTGGAACACTCGGGCACAGCCCGAGGGCCCAGGGTCAGTAGGGGCCCCATGAGATGCCCCTGGTACCTTTCATTTGCTTTTTCATAGGCTTTTTTGGGTGTTGGTGAGGACACAGGGGCCCCATGATCCCCTATTGCCCGGGGGCCCCATGAGTTGTCAGTCTGCCCCTGAGCAGAGCACATAAAATGAATGACAAACTTATACGAAAATCTCCATTTCTCATTAGGCCGTTAAAGGAATGTATATTCACACATGCCATTTTGTTATAATATTTTTTATATTTTTTGTCAGGTTCTACATTTATATTTTAAATTGGTAATGAATATTGATAATATATTTCACTGAGTTTGTCTGCAAAACAGTATTTTATGACATTTATTCTTGTTTATGAAATATGTAATATAAGCCACAGTTTTAACAAATTATTTATTACTACAAAAAAAAAAAGTATAGGAAAGGCAGGTTAATTCACATCAACATCAATAAGTGCTTTCAGTGACTGAAGAGGTTCTCACAGAGAGGGGCTGTTCAGTGATACACAGCTCTAAACTCATTACCTTCCATGGAAGAGCCAAGAGCGAGGGCTGTGTGAAGGTCTGAGCCTTTGTCTGAAATCAATTGTACTGAGCTGGGTCAAATGTCAGGAGTGGTCCCATACCAGATATTCCTGGAAAAAGGAATATCTAAGCAGCCTTTCTCAACATTTTTACCCCAGAGAAACCCCCAAATAATTTTAAGGTTTTGGGGAACACTTACTGAAATCAACTAATCTGGGTCAATGGGAAAAATACCTCATCATATTGGTAGTCATTAGGATGAATAAAAACCTTACAATGGTCATTAAAATACCACCCTTACCGATCGCGTTAGAAGGTCATTGGTGTAATGTTGCTGGCTTTGCCAAATGGCATTGGCTCATTCAAAAAGGAGGTCAATCAGCCACAGCTCAAGGAACCCCTAGCAACCTCTGGAGGAGAATGGCTGATCTACAGCAATATCTCCCCAATCAACCAGGTGGTTTCAGCATTGATAGATTTCTGATAAGAGATCAGACCTCACAAAGCTTGACATGCACTTTTCATATTGCAATTGAAAATGCCCAATCCAACCTGATGGATTTTTTTTTTTTTTTTTTTTTTAAATAAACAAAAATGATAGCACAATCATATGCGAAATTTCGGTTTTTCGATCAACAGAATGTTCGGTTTTTGACTATGGCCTGCCTAATGCCTCATACACACGATGAGAATATCGGACAAATGATCATCCTTTTTTTGCATGCTAGTCTCCATATCGAAAATGAAAAGGGTACTAAATTTACAAAAATTCTCATATGAAAGAGAAGAATTTCGAAAGCGATGTCATGTATTGTATTGTATTTTTGGACGACTACTGAACTGATTAAACAAAAATCATATGATCTGGTATCACACAAGAAAGATTTTCGCTCTTCGGATATTGTCGCATGAATACTCGTAATCGACTCTCGAAAGCTGTATACCAAAGATCAGATTTTTGGACGATTTTCTTATAGTGTGTACGGGCTTTAAGTTAATGAGTTGAAGGCTGTTTATCACTTAACTATCCTCCATCTGTAAGAAGAAAAGGACTGTTCCAAAGAACTTCTTTTAAGGCCTACAGAGATTATGAAGACGTGGTCACATGGTCAGATATGTTTGGAACTGGCATCTACCATGCCAACACTTTCTTCTCACTGACCAGCTCTCCATATGGTGAATCAACAGACTCTGGAAGAAGAGCAAGATAGACCGGGGTCTCGGCACCTTCATCAGGAGACTTGGTTGCATTGGGACCAGCCATATCAGTCCTCACCCAGCCTGGGCAGCAGGCGTTGAGGATGATTCCTTCTCCTTTTCTGGTCTCTTTCAGCTTGCGTGCCTGGATCCTGGACAGCACGGTCACTCCTATTTTAGACATCCCGTAAGCAGTGTTTGCCCAACCTTTCTCTTGATGGACTCCGTTCTTGGCATCTTCTACAAATTTCTCCATAAGCTTCACCAGTTCCCCCTCAGTGATGGTATCACTGCGGAATTTTTCCTGAAACTCTCGGCTGCACTGCGCCAGAGCCCTGGGGCTCACCATACTGGACACATTTACCACTCGCCCTATCAAAAGAAAATAAACAAGGGACATTATAGCGTGTTATCAGAGGAGACTCACAGCCAGTTTTGTAAAGTTACTTCCTGTCCTTGGGTGACAACGCTCACTCGCTGTACTGTACTGTACTGTATCTGTGAGGAAGCAATGTTGTTACCCTAGGACAAAGGCAACAGAACACCCCTTCCCCGTCATCTGTATCAGATGGGGGGAGGTGTTCTGTAGTCCACAGAGGGAAATTTATCAGCTCAATAAGCAGGATCAAACAGGCATTTTTCACTTATTGATCAGATATAACAAATTGCTATTAGTATATATTAGAAGTTCCAGAAAGGTAGCAAACATGTTAAATTTGCTGAAGAGTTACCATACACTTTAAAGTGAACCTCTCACACAACTATGCAATGCAATTCAAATACATGATTAAAAGATAAGTTTTTTAAAAAAAAAAAAAAAAAAAAAAAATGCACATTTATCATCATTTTTTAATTTTTCTTAGGAGCCTGTAAAGCATTGCACTCACGATCAGCAGATGACGGGTGTAATCACAGGCTCCTGCACACTGTCCGTGTATCTGTCTGCTAGTACCTTGTATGGAGCTCCACAATGAAAGGAAGACTCAGTGAACCACTAAACTAACTCACTAGCGCCTGGGTAATTAATTGGGAACGACAAGTCATCAGCCGCTAAGGGCGGTGGTACTTGTAGTTCATACATTCACAGATGGATGAATGACATGGCCTTGTGAGGGGAACCCCACCTGGCCGTGTTCTTTTCAAATTGTGACAGCGGGTGCGGGTGATCCCTGATCCACTGTCACACTGATCGGAAGGGGGAGGGGGAAAATTGGCGACAGGTTGCAGGAGTGAGAAAATGTTACATGTTCAACCCTAAAAACAGGTGGAACATGTAACATGTTCCCAAAGGGGAACTTAGCCTTTAAATAAAAACACACTTAGAGGCAACCTTAAAGCAGAGCTCCAGTCAAAATGTAAAAAAAAAAATGAAAGTCAACAGCTACAAAAACTGTAGCTGCTGGCTTTTAAAAAAACATACACCTACCTGTCCCTGGATCCAGCGGTGTCCTCACCGCAGCCGGTTTCACCGGTCGTCCTCTCTTCCCGGCTCCAGAATCCTAATTGTGGGCAACTGGCTGTGACAGCTTGCATCTTCGCAATTAGGTGCCCACTGTGCATGTGCACCTCATGAACGGTCCTGTAGTCTGCTAGGACCTGTCACCTGTCCCAGAAGACTACAGGGAGGGGGGGAAAAACTTCTGTTTCCGGTCGCCTAGGCGATCACAGAGGAAGTGGAAGCGGGTACCTGTCAAAATCAGGTACCCACTCCCCAAAGGTGCCAATCCTTAAAAGGCCTCAAAGCGGAACTTCCCCTATTGGGTGGAGCTCTGCTTTAAGTGAAAATGTCAAAACAACCAGCATTTCCAGATTTAAAGTATAACTAAAGGCAAAACCTTTTTTTCTTTTTTTTTTTTTTGTAGTGGAGAGGGGTTAGAACACCAGTCAGTTTTTATTGCCATCTGTGTCTCTGTTAGGGAGCTACACCCTCTTTATCTGTCTTTTCCAATAATTTTATTAGATTTTCCAATAGAAATGTAACAAAAGAATTTGATTATTACATCTGTAGAAAATAGCCTTCATGTATGGCGTATGGATGTGTACATCAACAAATTAGCCAAAAAAGGCGACATATTATCAACAATAATTATTCTCTATAAACATAGTCCCTCTCTATTTGTCTTTTTACTGTTATCATTGAAAGTCAAAATAGAAGAAAATCCCAAATTGTTGGTTTACCCAGAACAGTAGTGAGAGGGAAAATCTTCCAATGGGGACACTAGTTCTGGTGACAACCAGAGATTTCCTCACTTTGGAGGGATTTCCTACCACTTCCTGTTTTAGTTCTGGGACAGGAAGTGAAGGGAAATCTCCCCCAATGGGGACACAAATGGAAAAATAAATTGACAGAGGTTATAACCCTCCCTTACTCTATACAAAATGAAGCACAAGTTTTGCCTTTTGTTCTTCTTTCAGGGCAGCTGAAAGGATCAGCAGTAATGATTCTTCCCATAATCGGCAAGTATGAGTACCGATACTTTTGTTCAAGTACTCACCGATAGCAATTACTGATACCGTTCGGGTCCTTTCACACGGAGCGGACCTGTTTATCGGATCCGCTAGCTCAGTGGGGGATCTCTCTGCTGAGCAAGCGGATGACAAGTCCCTATCCCCTCCACTGCTGTAGAGCAGACACAAAGCTGCTTGCTCTCCTCAATGGATGGTCAGATGAAAAAATGGACCGCCTGTCTGTTTCCATCCAACCCGATCCGATTGGACAGAAGGGGAATTGGATCCCCATCCTTCCCTTTTTTGTGGGTCAGATTGGATGTCGGCGGGTGTAAACGGACACATGCCCGTTTACACCCGCCCAGGGCGGACTGACCATTCGAGCACTTGGGCACTGCCCGAGGGCCCAGGGTCAGTAGGGGGCCCCATGAGATGCCCCTAGTACCTTTCATTGGCTTTTTCATAGGCTTTTTTGGGTGTGGGTAAGGACACAGGGGCCCCATGATCCCCTATTGCCCGGGGGCCCCATGAGTTGTCAGTCCGCCCCTGCACTCACCGCTCCATAGAGGAGGATGGAGGTTCTGATCGGGTCCGCCTGAAAAACAGGCAGGCGGACGCGATTGGAATGTTCATGTGAAAGAGGCCTTCCAGTGCAAACTTAGCCCACACAAAATGAATGGGCTCAAATCACCCTGCAAAGACTTGCATGTGATTTGAACAGGAATGAGGTGAGACTCCTGTCCAAATTGAATGCGGTTTCCCCCGCTCCTGTTTGACCCCAGATTGAAGTCACTATGACAAGCCTAGGTTCACACAGGAGTGGTGTAAAAAACTCTGAGGAAGGGCGTTCGACTCCCGAAGAGCGTTCACATTTTAGCTGAGGAAGAATGCTGTCCACGATTGGCACCTTTGACTTCTTGTCTCTGTTTTTATGACCTTTATGGCTTGTGATTATGTTTATGCACCTTTTTAATAAATGTATAGTTTTTGCATTAATGCATGAGGAGAGTGCACCGTTTTGTTTTTTTCTGAGAATATTATCTATGTCAGGACAGACATGATCCACACAGACCTATATGCCAGCCATACATACATAGACTTCTCAAATAGATTCTGCTTAGAGATTGTTTAGGCCCCTTTCACACGGGCATTCCGTTTTTCATCATCCAAGAAAAAATGGATCAGTTCACATTAGTTTTGCATCAGTTTATATCTGTTTTTTCATCCGTTTACATCCATCTTCATCCATTTTTTGAATGTTTACATCTGTTTTTTTTTTTAAATGGAAGAAAAATAGGGTTTTCTTCCATGAAAAAAATGGATGTTATCGGATGTGGACATTAACGGATGTAAACAGACGATTGTCTGTTTACATCTGCTTAGTCCATAGAAATACATGGGTGTCCGTTTTTCATCCGTAAACGGACAGATGAAAAATAGACATATGGAACGCCCGTGTGAAAGGGACCTTAGTGTGGATCTCCTCTGCCATCTATTGTATTCAAGCCGCCAAGACACCCATAGCTGCTTGAACACTCGAACAGTGACTGCTTTTGATTGGCCAACAATTTTCAACGCAGCTCCTTCAATTTTTCAGTAGTAGTTTGAAAAGCTGGGTGGGGCCAACAGGGCCACCTATCAGCTGATTTCAGCTGATTTGGTAGGAATCAGGTGACATTTTTCCTGTTTAATGCCAGCTTCATATCTGCGACAAATGGCCCAAATTGCAGCCGATTTGGATGAAATTAGGCCCTAGGTCACCTTGCAAGCACCACCTAACCTGACCAAAGACGATTTAAAGATCGACTGAGCCAAGTGGAAAATTATCAGCTATGGCTGCTGAATATAAAATAGTTGGAAATGGAGATTTCTCCATCTATGCCGTTTAGCATGAATGGGGGAAAATCAACTGAACAAGAGAAAATGGAGCCATGTATGGCTAGCTTTAAACTTGGGAGTGCATTTAAAAAGAAGCGGTGTGGTCACTTTATAAGTGCCATTCCCTACACAGTGTGTGGACAGGCTTAGGAGTCAATGCAGTAGCGCTGTTATATAGAAAATAATCAATGTATGAGTATAGACAGAGGGGAAGGGGGCAGGTGGAGTTCTGTAGTTCACAAGGCAGACCTGACACCGCCGGCTGGGATTTCAGAACAGAAGGAGCTCTGTGCTGTCAGTCCAAACAGGAAATCAGCATTTCTGGCAAATCAATTATTTTTCTGTACTTAAAGTCTTTTTAGAAGGATTAAACATGGGGAAAAGAGCATATATTGCAGAGTTGTATTGAATAGGTTGTTTAAAGCGTTTTTCAGGGCAAAATAATAAAACATTTTTTAAAGGATAAGTTCGCCTTTGGGAACATGTTACATATTGCACCCATTTTTAGGGTGGAACATGTAACTAGTGATGGGCTGAACACCCCCGTTTGGTTCGCGGTAATACCAAACAGAGGGGACAATTCAGTAAGCGGTATCTTACCGCATCTGCAATAAGATACTGTACAGCTACTAAAAACAGCTGAATGTAAAAAGAATTGCCAGCAATAAAAAAAAAAATAAAAAAATAAATAAAATATATGCATGGGGTCCCCCCCCAGACCCCTTCGGTTCCAGAATGGATTTTAAAGGGAACACCCACATCAAATTTTCTTTAAAAAATGGCGTGGTCCCCTCCAAAATCCATACCAGATCCTTATCTGAGCATGCAGCCCGGCAAGTCAGGAAAGGGGGGGGTGCGTGTTGATGGGGACAAGGGCCTCTTCCCCACAACTGTTGCCAGTGGTTGTGGGGGCCTGCGGGTGGGGGAGGGGGGCTTATGGAAATCTGGAAGCCCCTTTAACAAGGGGGCCCCCAGATCCTGCCCCCCCATGTGAATAACTATGGGGTACATGGTACCACTACCCATTCACAAAAAAAAAAAAAAAAAAACGTGTAGTGGAAAAATGACAGGAGACATTCTTTGACAAGTCCTTTATTAAAAACAAAAATTTAAAATAAGTCCCCTGAAGTACATCCAATGTCAATCACGATGCCCACGCCGACCCAAAAAAACCCGCAAACGCTCCACTCTCAACACTGGCTCCCACCGGCTAAAAGCTGCGACGGGATAACAGTTCCTAAATAGTGTGATGATGTCACAATGGGGCGGGTGTCACCCCCGCCCCCCTTGTGACGTCATCATGTGCTGTGATTGGCCAAAGCATTGTACCTGACCTGTGGTCGGGTGCATTGCATTGGCCAATCACAATGACCTGTCAGGGTGCAGTGCATTGTGGGGTGCAGTGGACGAACATACAGCCCAACACTACATGTAACACGTTCCCACTCCTGCAGCTCTCCCCCTGATCCCCCTCCCCGTGACAATGGACCAGGGATCTTCTACCTGTATCCACTGTCACAATTTGAAAAGAACACAGAAGTGCAGAGTTCTGTGAATGAATGCCTACAAGTATCATCAGCCTTTGTGGCTGATGCAGGGTTGCCACCTCATCCCTTTAAAACTGAGCACATATTAATTATACAGGTTCTGGGGCTGATTAAGGTGCTAATTAAACTCACTTAGTGCCTTATCTGCATTAAATCAGCCTCAGAACCTGTGTCATAAATATGTGCTCAGTTTTAACGGAATGAGGTGGCAACCCTAGGCTGACGGCTTGAAGTTTTCTTGTAGTACTGACTGTACAGCTGGTGAACTCTCTTGAGCTTTCTGGACTGAAGTAACTACCTGCCCGTATCGAAGGTACGGGCAGACAGCTACACTGAGTCTGCAGAGGAGCCTGACATTGCATCCGTGATGATGATGATCTGCTGATCACGGGTGCAATGCTCTCCAGGTTCCCAAGAAAAAAAAAAAAAAAAAAGTTAATGCACATTTTTTTTACCTTCAAAAAAATTTGCATTCATTATTATTTATTTATTTATTTTTTTGTAAGGTAAACCTATCCTTTAAATAGCCCTTTATCATCCCATAGACTTTACACAAAAACTTACCATGGGGTTTAATGAGAGGGAGAAGCTCATGGCAGACGTCAAGAGTGGCAAAAAAGTTGGTTTTAAGAGTAACCTCAGCCTGGGTGCCAAATGGGGTCGTATCGGCAACTGGGAAAAAAACAAACAAAAAAAAACAGATTTGTTAGGCATTTCCCTGCAAGTAGCTTACATTTCAGCAAATTTAAAAAAAAAACATTTAAAATAAACAGAACTAAAATAAAAAATGAGAGAAGGTAGAGTTCATGTAGTAGCATTTACAATCACTTTAAACAGAATCACAGTATTTTTCGCCCCATAAGACACACTTTTTTCCCCCCAAAATAGGGAGGAAAATGTCAGTGCGCCTTATGGAGCAAATGTAAAGCGGCCGGTCTGGTATTTCTGCCACCACCATGTCAGAATATCAGGCCGGCCACTCAGCTCAGCTCAGAAGAGCTGCAGGACCTTACCTGAATTTTACTCCTCGCTCCAGCGGTGCAGTCTTCCCGCGGCGGCTTCTATGACAACCGGGTGCCCACTGCGCATGCGCGAGAAGCGCTGCGCTTTGTGAATGGTCAGGTGTCTTCTGGGACAGAAGGCTCCAGGCCATTCACAAAGAGCAGCGCTTCTCGCGCATGCGCAGTGGACACCTGGCTTCACAGAAGCCGCCGCGGGAAGAAGACCGGAAGGAGGAAACTCCGCGGAAGTGGGAGCGAGTACCTGTCAAATTCAGGTAGCCCCGTACTGTGTCCCGCAGTCTCCCTCCCCTGTACTGTGTCCGCAGTCTCCGGTCAGCCCCTGTACTGTGTCCGCAGTCTCCGGTCAGCCCCTGTACTGTGTCCGCAGTCTCCGGTCAGCCCCTGTACTGTGTCCGCAGTCTCCGGTCAGCCCCTGTACTGTGTCCGCAGTCTCCGGTCAGCCCCTGTACTGTGTCCGCAGTCTCCGGTCAGCCCCTGTACTGTGTCCGCAGTCTCCGGTCAGCCCCTGTACTGTGTCCGCAGTCTCCGGTCAGCCCCTGTACTGTGTCCGCAGTCTCCGGTCAGCCCCTGTACTGTGTCCGCAGTCTCCGGTCATCCCCCTGTGTACTGTGTCCCCTGTACTGTGTCCGCAGTCTCCGGTCATCCCCTGTACTGTGTCCGCAGTCTCCGGTCATCCCCTGTACTGTGTCCGCAGTCTCCGGTCATCCCCTGTACTGTGTCCGCAGTCCGGTCATCCCCTGTACTGGTCCGCAGTCTCCGGTCATCCCCTGTACTGTGTCCGCAGTCTCCGGTCATCCCCTGTACTGTGTCCGCAGTCTCCGGTCATCCCCTGTACTGTGTCCGCAGTCTCCGGTCATCCCCTGTACTGTGTCCGCAGTCTCCGGTCATCCCCTGTACTGTGTCCGCAGTCTCCGGTCATCCCCTGTACTGTGTCCGCAGTCTCCGGTCATCCCCTGTACTGTGTCCGCAGTCTCCCCGGTCATCCCTGTACTGTGTCCGCAGTCTCCGGTCATCCCCTGTACTGTGTCCGCAGTCTCCGGTCATCCCCTGTACTATGTCCGCAGTCTCCGGTCATCCCCTGTACTGTGTCCGCAGTCTCCGGTCATCCCCTGTACTGTGTCCGCAGTCTCTGGTCATCCCCTGTACTGTGTCCGCAGTCTCCGGTCTGGTCAGTCTCCGGTCCCCTGTACTATGTCCGCAGTCCCTGGTCATCTCCTGTACTGTGTCCGCAGTCTCTGGTCATCCCCTGTACTATGTCCGCAGTCCATTGGTTCTGAATATTTTTTTTCTTGTTTTTCTCCTCTAAAACCTAGGTGCGTCTTATGGAGCGAAAAATACGGTAACTGGTTTAGTGTCACATTGTATGTTGATGGCCTAAAATCTGTCCCCTAAGCCCCGGTTCACACTGGTGCAACTTATGTGATTTGACAGTTCCGAATGGCATAGCAAGTCGCACCCTATTGTCAGCAATGGAATCATTCAAATCGGTGCAATTCTGACTAGTTCTTGCACTATTTTTGGTGATTCAGGTGCGACTTGTATTGACATCTGTGCATGAAATCGCTTAGATGTCAGGCCAGCTGCATATGAATTGCATCGGGTCCGCGGCTTTGAAATCGTGCTACTTCAAGTGAAGAAGCATGGGTTTAAATGTCACATTTAGTGAGAACCAGGGCTAATTTTACTTTGTAAGCAATGCTGAAAAAAACCCCAAAAAACCTGCCTATAGAGCAGGGGCGGACTGACCATTTGGAAACTTGGGCACTGCCCGAGGGCCCAGGGTCAGTAGGGGGCCCCATGAGATGCCCCTGGTACCTTTTTCATAGGCTTTTTTGAGTTTGGGCAAGGACACAGGGGCCCCATGATCCCCTATTGCCCGGGGGCCCCATAAGTTTTCAGTCCGCCCCTGCTATAGAGTCCTATGTATAAACCTGCTCCAAACAAGCAATTAAAATTGTAACAATTTTTTAAAAATTATTTTATAGTATGCTATATGAATGGAAATGAACATAGTAAAGACAGAAAATCTGTGCATCCCTGTGCAGAACACGGCCCTGCATCTAACTGCCTAAGGAGAAATTTAATAGGAATTTAAGCATCTCCTCCTCCATAGTGAGCTGAGCCTTTTGGATGTTTCCAAATAAAACCGTTTATTCTTCCCCCCCCATCTAGAAATGCAGTGTCACCCTGACTGTGTGCTGCACCAGAACCTGAAAATCTTGTTTCCTTGTGGAATTCTGGACTTGGTTATAGTTGATGCTACAACATGCTTCAAATAAACCATTTCATGATGTTGTAGCATCAACACAGCCAAAAATGTTAGAATAAAAGCTGCAAGCATTCCACTGCTGAACAAGAAGTAGAATTCTATGACCATGAAGCAGAACTCTGAATTGAATCTGTATTTTTAGCAGATAAAAAAATATAAATTCATTATGCATTGACCCCTAATTCACGCAGTTCAATGCAATATCACATAGGCATTAATGTGTTATTGCTTACGGCAACCCATTCAATGCACCACAATTTATTACATATGACACATGCCCTGCTGAGTCACATTCAGAGCTTTCTAATCAGCGGGGAAACCTCAGCAATGTTACCGCTTCCCCACAGACAGCAAGAGTACTTTTCTGCAGCTGCTGGCAGAAGACAGGCTTTTTCTACTAAGGCCCCATGTACACGGGACACTTCTGAACGATGGAAACTGACTGCTGGAAAACGTAGGTTTAAAAAAGTCTGTTTAGCGTTTACAAGCGTTTTTTAAAGATAAGCACAGGAGAACCTCCCAAATGCCCAGAATGCAGTGAAAAGTGGTAAATTATTAACTATTTCAGCCTGTTTCAGAGAAATACAGAGAGTAGAAGCAGAGACAGCAGTATGTGTTGAGATTAGCTTAGGAGTTAGTTGCTCATTAACATTTCTTTTGTTACCAAGGGTGGGAAAGGTGTCTGGTGGATTGAGTCAGTAAGGCCACCTGGCAAGGGGTCTTCATGAGGAATTTGAGGTGTGAATTGGCATTAACATATCTTTTGTTTCCAACAGTGGGAGAGGTCTGAGGTGTGGATTGGTCATTACAATGTGTGACAAGCTTGGTGGGAACATCCTGTGTTCAGTGTTTTGTCCATTTGAGTACCTTGAAAACGCTTTGCATGCATTTTCCATGATGAAAAAAAGGCTCTGGACAGCATCGGGAACTGGAAGAGTTAAAAAAAAAATTTCAAATACAAACGCATTTAGCGTTTGAAACGCTGAAAAAAATCAACTGCTGAACGCAAGTTTTCTGCATTCAAACAAACCACTGTAAACACAAAATGCCTGTAAATGACTGTAAACGATGATGTGTACATGGACACATAGGAAAACATTAGGGAGAGTTCAGGGGCTGCTGAAAAAAAAAAAAAAAAAACGCTGAACAGCTCCTAAACGTGAGTTTAATCAGCTGCAGTGTACATGAGCCCTAAGAAAGAAACAACTGTAAATCACTTAACACCTGATTTGACCTGAACACCAGCAAAAAAAAGTTTTTGTCCATTTGTAATGAACAAAAAAAAAAAAAAGAAAAAAAACGAATGAACACTAGTGAAATGTGTGCAATTATGTAATATTCTTACATTTTGTACCACCACCTCCTCCCTTTAGATTGTAAGCTCCATGAGCAGGGCCCTCTTCCTTCTGTATTGAACTGTATTGTAATTGTGAAAAAAGAATAGCGAGCTCTAGAGGTACAAGAGCACAAGCAGCTAGAACACCAAAAAGGCAACCAATCCTCCTTGCAATAGTCAATAATAAAAGAAAAGTAGGTGCAGCGCTAAAACAAAATATAAATATTACTCTATAGGATAAATATAAATATCAGTGGTCAAAACAGATATACCACAGAGGTGACTAATGCGTAGAGTCTATAAGGAGTGCTGAGAGCACACAAAGTTCTCGTCCCAGGGTGATAGTGGTACAAGGTGAAGGAGATCCAGGGAAAAACAAATAGAGTGCGCACTCACCAGAAGTGCGTTAAAATAACGCATGTAAGGAAGTAACTGCTGCAAGATCTCTCCAGCATCAGGGCTCTGGTCAGGTCGCACTGCGTCCTATCCTCTGTCTCACCGCAGGGAGAGGTGGCCAAGTAGCATCCGAACGTGTGAGCGTCAGGGAACTCCTTGATCCAAAAGAAGTACTGTGGGAGATGGTGCTCTCAGAGAGAGCCCAATGAAGGACGCCACATAGTGTGATATTGTTGAGACTAGCGTTTATTAGTCAAAGGGGGGTAAAAACAAAGGAAGAGTACTGACCATAAATAGTTGGCCACAAACAGTGGCTAGATGTCCATATGCTGTAGCCCCCCTGACGCGTTTCGTGCGATGCACGTCCTCAGAGGGTCAGGGCTTACAGCAGGACATCCTTACACATCTATTTATATGGAGAAATGGCAATCGCGCTAGTCGCGGCGGCCATTTTGCCGGCGTCTCGCGCATGCGCAGTTGATCGGCGCCATTTTGCCGAAGATCGTTATAAGGGAATACACTGGAATGAACTAATCCTCCTAGTGGCTTGAGGTATATGGTGTATCCCAGGCAGGCGCCATGATATAGGTGGGGAAGAAGAAACACACAACTTTATCAGACAGCAAAATGAACTGCTGAAAAACGATCT